TATTATTATTATTATTATTATTATTATTATTAAGCTGAGGGCAGGCTTTGGGGCCAAAATTATGGATTTTGATATGACCAGTGGATACGTTGAAGGTAAAATTTAAGGGCATGTAATGAACGATGTAAACATTGAAGCAAAGGAATAAAATGCCTAAGAACTTACACAATTCTAACAGACATGACTATTTGTGCTTATACTAAAGGCTGGATGGTTGAGAAAGTAGAAGTGGGTCAGTGCTTCCAGGGCAGATTACATTTGCCTTTCACAGGGGGATGTGTGTGTGTGTGAGTGTGTAAGTGAGTGAATGAGTGAGTGAGTGAAAAAAGTACAGTACTTACAGTGACCCATGGATAAGTTGACTCAGTTTTTTTGGGTCAATTTTTCAACCTAAATTTCTAGACTTATACATGAGTATATACAGTATTTGTTGCATGTTACGATAAATATAAAATGTAGGCCTGAGACATGATACAGTTATATATATAAAATGTAAAGTCTTCTAGGTTAAGAGGAGAATTCAAAATTCAGATTATTTAGCACCTTTTAAGAACATTTTTTATAGGCCAGGGAGCCAAATTCTAGAATAAAAATACCTATTTAAAGTTATAGACTTGTTAACTTTTTTACCTTTACAGGAAAAAATGCTTTCATCCTTACCCTGAGATGGCTGCATAATTGACTGACACATATTCAACCAGAGATGTGTAAGAACAGAGCAGAAGTGTTACAAATATCAGTGAGATGGGAAAAAAGAACTGTCCAGATTAACCAGTCTACATGGTGACTGTAGGACAGGAAAGAACATAAAGGGAAGTCCAAAAGGTAGGTCTAATAATACTGATTTAGCTGGCAAGGCCAAAATGCAGAATTTGAAGCAGAGCCTGAAATCAGAACCAAAATGCAGAATTTGAAGCAGAGCCTGAAATCAGAACTGGAGAGGCAATCTAAAAAAGACCTAGGTGACTTTGTTCTGACAGCAAGACCATGTTCTGACAGCAAGACTACGTGCAAAATCAAGATCAAACATAGTAAAAAACAAAACAAAGGGAAGATGCAGTTTCAGGAACAAGGTACAGTGTGCTAAGCATGAGATACCTGACCAGTTACCATACTGCTGGTTTACACAAAGCCTATGGATGTTATCACACAGGGCAAATCTGCTGGTTAATCCACACAA